AGGAATCTTATCCAAGTTGTAGGCTTGTCAATACTGGTCAGTCAGTCGTATCTGACATAAAGGATCCGCGAATGAAACTGACCACAAACACCATTAACTAAAGTGAATTATATGGCAGTAATCAGCAATATGCTTTCACACAAATAACTTTATTTTTGAATGTTTCAATATGTGTTGACACAAATGACTTATCTGAAATTTTCATTGATACAACATGGCACTGAGTTGCGTAGAAATGCGTAGAGACATTATTGCTTGATGGCGTCAGGAACCGATGAATCGGCGTTTTGAACCGGTTCAATGAGCCGATCTGTCAGAAAAGAACCGGTTCAATGAGCCGATCTGTCAGAAAAGAACCGGTTCAATGAGCCGATCCGTCAGAAAAGAACCGGTTTGTGGAAATGAATCGGACTTTGCATCACTAGTAACAATCAGTCCACTGAAGGAGAGTTGAAGTGACAACCCAAGTGCAGTTTATTTTCACAAAGACAAAACATAATCAAAACATAATCCAAAAGACTTGACTGGAACAGACTTGACTAGGCATGATCAGACTTGCATCGTACAGACTTGACTTGGCACAAACAGACTCACCGACAGCAGGTTACAACATCAAAGCTAGACCAAGAACAAAAGCAACATTAGGGCTATTTATATCAAACAATGAGGGTCACATGACAATAACCAACCAATGAGAAACAAGACACATGAACCAAGGAGCCAATCAGAACATAACACACAGACAAGGGAATCACATGACAGAACATGACTGTGGCCAAACTACAAAACAAGACATGAAAACTATGAACAAGAAACAAAACCCAAACCCCACGTTACAATGCCAAAAAGGGGATCATACTGGAGCTTGGAGTTGTGATACCTCATTATATTTTTTCTTTCATAATTAGTAATAGTGGTAACTAAACTAACCTTACCAATCTCCCTGGACAATGATTAATAGAAGAGTTTCTTGCATATGCTATTTCCATCCCTGAGGCCGAGTGCATGAGTGTGGTCTATATTTGACACCCAAGTGTTTGGTTCTCCCGTTTACTGTGGAGTCAGCTGTGTGCGATGGACAGACTGTAATGTGAGATGCACCTTATACCTACCCAGACAACCTGCAGTCAAGCTGGTGAATCTCTTTACCAATAGCCCAGTCTGAGTGCCTGTCCCCACTTCTCCATTTCTTTCACTGGGTAGAAGACTTCCAGTCAAAGAGGGGGGCAAACAAGACTTGCTGTGCACTCTCTTCGAGAGGGGAAGAGTGCAACAAGGAGGGATTCTGTCTTCCTAACGTCCTTTAACCTTGGTGTTATCAGCCCAGGGGAATTTGCATTGGCCCCTCCACACTAAGAGGATACACCGGTAAGGCTCCAGCTTGTGAAACAGGTGCACTGGTGGGACCCATGCAAAGAAATTGGTTTTCATAGCTTGAGAGGTGGCAAATTAGTTGCTTTGACAGAGAGGATGGATGTTGGTTCTGCTGTAATTTTATATATATATATATGTTGACTTGCTGCAAGAGGACCTTGTATTCCTGCTCATGTTTAATGGACAGACATTACATGGCTGTGCCAAAAATAAATCTGGCTTCAATGCTGATAGAGAAACATCTGTTCAAAGGTGCTACACTTCCATCCCACTCTTCAAAAAAAGCTATATCCTAGATTTTTGTTGTTGTTGTTGAGAAAATACAATATTCAGAATACTGCAGTACTAAAAAAACAAAGTGCATTTGAATGCAGTCTTTGATGTAGAGTTCCATATGTTTATCATATGCAGTTTAAGTGGTTTATGTTGTTATTATCTGTCTGTATGGGTTTTGGAGTTGCTACATTATGAAAATGCAGTCTTTGATGTAGAGTTCCATATGTTTATCATATGCAGTTTAAGTGGTTTATCTTGTTATTATCTGTCTGTATGGGTTTTGGAGTTGCTACATTATGATTCTTTGGAGTTCTTGATGTTTCACTTTAGGTTCTGCAAAGAGTTCGGATTCAATCTTTACAGCACCATTACATAGCTGATTTTCTAAACAGTGAGAGAAATAAAATAAAAATATTAATGGAAAAAAAAATTTTTTTCTGTGACATCAGGCTGTAAATGCTTTTTTATTGTGACTTGAAACTTTATTTTTAAGGTGTACCTCACTACAGAATGACTCTATAGTGAAAGCACTGTACAATCACAAGGTGATTTGTGGGAACAAAACCAGGATAAATCTATATGCCTTCAAACTGATACAGTGATAAGGAATATTTCAGATTATTGAATTTTTATTAAACAAAATACCTCTTATGATTTGAGATGGCACTTTCGAAGGGGTGAAAAAGGGGTGTGTTTCTAAATGCAACACACTGAAGGCACAACCAAATTAGCGCAGGGATTTATCCCACACCATGTGTTTCTAAATGCAACACACTGAAGGCACAACCAAATTAGCGCAGGGATCTGCTCAGGTTTCGTTGCTTCACTCTGTTGAGCACCAGTGAAAGGACAGGAGAGGGGTTAGACTCACAGCATTGCTACCAGTCAACAATCTGTTTACAAATCTTGCTCAAGTATAAATAAAGCAGAAGAGTTTAAGAATGCAGAAATGACAATGATTTTTCAGTGGTGCTTTTTGTGGTGGTATTTTTTTCTCTCTGTGCTTTATATAAACGGTCTGCTGTATACCTCAGTTTTTTATGTAATGGTTGTGTATTAAAGCTGATGTGTGAGGCTTCAAGAACAGATACCACAAATTCACTGCTAGTGCAAATTGTTATTAGTGCATTAAGACAAAATCTTGCAATCAACAAATGTATTTAAACAAATGAACATAATGAATCGCTCATGCCCTTCTGTTGTCTCATTATTTCTGATTTCTTGAATTTTATAGTGCCTCCTGCTGGGCTCATCCACACTCTTCGGAGATACTGGAAACATGGCACAGTAAGAGACGGGGAAAATATATACTGTGCTTTTAAAGAAATATTTCACCCAAAAATAACAACTCTGTCAATATTTACTCACTCTCAAGACATTTAAAACCTGTATGACTTTATTTATTCTGTGGACTACAAAACTAAAAATGATGGAAACTGTGCAGGTTACTTTTTTCATGCAGTTACAGTGAACAAGTGTTAAAGCTTTCATAGCAAGGTATAAGTAGTTCAAGTACTTCAAGATGTAAATTTCAGCCTGTCTCTTGCATAAAGCTACTGTATGGCTTCAGAAGACTTGAAATATGTTGTATTGTATCATCCACTTTCATATACTTTTATGGTGCTTTTTATCATTTAAGCTTGAAAACTTCAGTATATTACCAAAAAAAAAAAAAAAAAAA